ACAGTGGACTTTTGACTTCTGTTTATTTCCTGGGCCTCTGGAAAAGGTCAATTCTTTTTTTATTTTTTAAAATATTTTATTTATTATTTTTATTTTGGGTGTATGAGTGTATTGCCTGCATGTGTGTAAGTATACCTGTCGTGCAATGCCTGTGGAGGTCAGAAGGAGTCTGATCCCCTGGAAATGGAGTTACGGATGTTTGTTAGCCACCATGTAGATGCTGGGAATTGAACCCAGGTCCTCTGCAAGAGCAGCCAGTGCTCTTAACCACTGAACCATCCCTCCAGCCCCGGAAGATCAATTCTTTACACTTGTTTTTTGTTTTTGTTTTGTTTTTTGTCTTTTTGAGACAGGGTCTCCCTGTAGTCCCAAATGACCTGAACTCACTATGTAGACCAGGCTGGTCTTGAACTCAGAAGGATCTGCCTGCCTCTGCCTCCTGAGGGCTGGGATTAAAGGCAGCGCCACCATGCCCAGTTTGTTGTTTGTTTTTAAAACCCTGCTTTATGTCTGTGGTGATCTAGTGTGGCTAAATCCAAATACCTCTTTGATCCGCATTTACTCTGCAGCCCAAGTTGGCTTCAAATTTGCAACAATCCCCCTGCCTCAACCTCCCAAAGGCATGAGACAACCATGCCCAGCTAATTTAAGGGTTTGGGGACAAAGAAACTTTGTTTTCTTATTATTGATCAAAATAAAGGTAAAATGACCTCCCCAAACCCACTCCTAAAGAGTATCCCGTTATCAACAACACTAAGCATCCTAGGCCCTCCTTACAGCTAGCTTTGAAGACAAGACCACAATACAGGTGGGTAAAAGAGGCCAAGCCTAATTAGGTGCTATCTGCATTTTGTATCCAAGATTGCATATCAAAGCTAGGCATGGGGCACACTGTGGTCCCAGCACATGGGAGGTGGAGGCACGAAGATCAGGAGTTCAAGGTCATCTTTGGCTGTATAGCAAGTTTGAGCTTGTTTGGGCCACAAGAAACCCTGTCTCAATCTGCTCCCCCCACCCCTAAGAAAAAAGACTTGCCCATGGCAGGCTACCCACAAGCACCCACAGGCAAGCAGTCTTTCCAGCCCCAGTGCCTGGCATAGCATTTAGTATGCCATATATGCTTGCTGAAAGTTTGCTAAGCCAGCTGGGTATCGTGGCCCACTCAGACAGCTGAGGTATTAGGATTGTCAGTCTGGTTACATAGCAAGATCCTGTCTCAAAAAGCAAGTTTTTGGGGCTGGAGAGATGGCTCAGCAGTTAAGAGCACTGGCTGCTCTTGCAGAAGACCTGAATTTGATTCCCAGTGCCCACTTGGTGGCTAACAACTGTTGTTAACTCCAGTTCCAGGAGATCCAGTGCCCTCTTCTGGTCTCCTTGGGTATTGCACGAGATGGATGCACTTACATATGTGCAAGCAGTACACTCCTACACGCAAAATAAAAATAACAAATAAAATACTAAAAAACCAAACACGCCCAAGTTTTTGTTGGGCACGCCTTCAATCCCAGCACTTAGGAGGCAGAAGCAGGTGGGTGGCTCTCTGAGATTGAAGCCAACCTGGTCTTCATAGCAAGTTCCAGCCAGCTGGAGCTACAGGGAGATCCTGTCACAAACAGTTCAGCTAGGGCTACAGTAGTGTCTAACTTGTCTAAAAAAAAGCTTACTAAACAAAATGAGTCTTAGGCCACTCCAAAAGCACTGCACAGCTCATTCCTTCTAAAACCCAGTCATAAAACGAGGAAGCGCCTGACTGCAGTCATCTTCTGAGCGTTCCTCTTCCTTCTGCCATTTGCTGAGCCGAAGGCCACCTGGCTCTACAAACTGTCTGACTGCACACAAAGCAACCCAAGCCTAACTTCCGTTACTCAAAAGCCTCTACAAATTCCAGAATACAAAAATTGCTTGTTTGGTTTTGTGGTTGTATCTGATGGGAAGGGTATTATGAGTTGGCTTTGGGGGGATTTAGGTCGTAAGGGTGGCTGACAGAGTCACCCCACTTCTTGATTTTCAGTGTTCCCAAAAGGTAAACTCTGAACTGAGCTAGATTTTGATCCAGATATCTCCGTGTCCATAGGAGAAGCAATTTTTATGTGGCCTTTGACCCTAACTGGCTCTGAATCCTCTTGTTCTTGGTTCTGTAAAGGCCCAAAGTTTATCTCCTTGAAGCCCTCAGGAAATAGTTCTGCTGACCACTTAATCTCTAAATTTCATCTGAAAAAGCAGTCTTTCAGGTATTTTCCAACTGAATTCTGAGATTCTAAATGGGTTCTTGGTGGCTAATGTCCTCTTGGAAAAACCTAACAAATAAGCTGGGCAGTTCAGTTATTTTCTAGTAGCTTTTGGTTGTTTCAGTGTTTTCTTCATGAAGAAAAAAAAACAAGAGAAAGCAAAATAACCCTAGAACCAGGCCTGGTGGGTCATGTCTGTAGTCCCAACACTCGGGAAGCTGAGGCAGGAGGACTGCCATAAGTTAGAAGCCAGGCTGGATTATACAAGTGAGTTCCAGGCCAGTCTGGGCTACTGTATGGGGGGAGGGGGGTACCTCAAATGGGTATCCTGCAAGACTTTGATTGTGATTTAACTAGTTAAAAAGATTTGGCCTGAAGGCATAAAAACATAGTATTATAGGGGCTGGAGAGCTGGCTGAGCAGTTAAGAGCACTGGCTGCTTTTGCAAAGGACCCAGGTCTGATTCCCCACACCCACATGACAGCTGACAACTGTCAGTAACTCCAGCATCAGGGGGATCCAACCTTCTCTTCTGACCTCCACGCCCGGCGCAGGTGCAGCTACCTCCATGCAGGCAATACTTTCATACACATAAAAAAATAATAAATAAAATATATATTTAATTTATTATTATTATTATTTGGTCTTTTTGAAACAGGGTTTCCCTGTAACCCCAAGCTGGCCCGGAACTCACTATGTATACCAGGCTGGCCTTGAACTCAGAGATCCGCCTGTTTCTGCCTCCCAAGTGCTGGGACTACAGGCATGCGCCACCACACCTGGCTTATTATTTTTATTTTATGTGTATGTGTGTATTGTCTGTGTGTAAGTGCACCTGTGTCATGCAATGCCCGTGGAGGTCAGAAGAAGCTGTCGGATCCCCTGGGACTGGAATTATGGACAGTTGTTAGCTGCCATGTGGGTGCTAGGATTCGAACCCGAGTCTTCTGCAAGAACAATCAGTGTTCTTAACTGCTGAGCCATCTCTATAAAATATTTTTTTAAAAAATATTGCATTATCAGGCGGGCATGGTGGCACACGCCTTTAATCCCACCACTCGGAGGCAGAGGCAGATGGATCTCTATGAGTTCAAGGCCAATCTGGTCTACATAGTGAGTTCCAGGACAGCTGGGGCTACAGGGAGATCTTGTCTCAAAAAGACCAAAAAAAAAAAAATTGCATTATCAACCCTCTGGTGTTAGGTCAGTTCTGAGGGAAGTTCAGAAAGCAAGCTTTGATGGAAATGACGCTGGTGTCAGTACAAACTCGCAGGAATATCCTTCAAGGGGCAACCTAGAGAACAGCTTCCAGCAAGTTGTCTCCAGCCCTAGTTGTCCAAACCAGTCTGCATGTGGGTGAAGTTCATCTGAACTCTGTATTAAAAAAAAAAAAAAAAATCCCAACTCTAACCTGGGACGCTGTCTCAGCAACACTGAATGAATCACTAGTTACAACCAGTTCACTCATTTTGCAAGACCAAAGTGTTGAAACCCAAGCCCTTAATTTAAGTGTCTTCTCAGGAGTTCCACTGAGGAAAGTCCTGTTTTTGGAAACCACAGAAGGAAAACTCAGGGCTAGTGGTACTCATTAAGATAGTTTTTCCACTTGGCTGCATTGTTTATTTACGTACTGTCAGTTTCTGTCTTAGACACCCTTCTCTTAATTACCAGAAAGGTGTTTCTACTATATTCACATCCCCCCTTCACCCCCAATGCCACTTGGGATACGGGGGAAAAGATTTGGCATTTCTTGCAACAAGACACCTATGTCACTATGATTTGCAAAAACAGTAAGATCATGGAGGGAGAAATCTCTCAGTCCCCGGGCAGAAGCCTCCTGCAGAACGAGCTGGTATAGAAAGTGTAGCTGTGCAAACAGAACCGGTTTCCAGGTTGACAAGTTGTAATTGAGGTTCCCCTGTTGGATCCCGGGAGCTTTTTCCCCCCACATCCTCCGTGTTCGGTGACGTTTTACATGCCACCTAAAAACTTCTATCACTTGTCTGCCGAGGTGCAGGGAATGAAAACAACCCAGGAAGAAATTAACCCATTCCCTTTGCAAAAACCATCCTCCCTCGTGCCACAGCCGCACCAGCTGGCAGCCCCGGGAACCTTGGAAATTGCGCGGGACCAGCTGGCAGCCGCTAACAGTTCTGGCCATCGAGGGTGCGGGACCGCTCGGTAGGGACATCTCGCTCTTCCTCTAGGACTGCACAGTGGCCGCCTGGGAGGGGAAGGGGGTACCTCGGGGATGGAGACAGGGAGCCCCACTTTCCCTCGCGCGCCTCAGTGGCCGCCTTGCGTGCGCGCACGAGCCAGGCAAAGGAAGGAACCTCTTTGACATTTCGCTCTGCTGACGCGCAACAACTTCATGCGGAAAATGCAGGACGGCTGAGCGGGTCGCCCCAGACTCACCCCACAGTCTGGGTCTTCTCAGCCGGGTCAGGGGACGATCAAAGACCAGGCCACCCTTGAAAGTATTCCCCAGAACCCAACAGTACTAGGACCATGGACATTGAACTCTCAGATGCCCACAACTGCCCAAGAGCGTGTCATCCTAGTGGCTCGGAGCAACTCCCAACTATCACAATATTTTTCATTATAAGCTCTTCAAAATGTTAAAATGTTAAGCGCTTTCCTTGGCCTCTCCGTGCTAACAAAATTAAATAAAAAGGCCCCAACACATTTTTTTTTAGAAAAACCCCAAACACATCAACAAGCCATACCCCCCAATCAAACTTTTAAACATGTAAAATAATAAAACCAACTCACCAAGTTAGAAGGGAAGAGAATAAACCCCAAAAGGCTCCCAATAAGGCGGAGACTTGGCCTCCCCCTTCTTATAAGCCGCTCGGGTACATCAGAAAAGGTTTAACCCTTTAGGGCGTGGGCCTGAGTCTCCATCAAGTTGGCTCCAGCCGCAGAGCCCGGAGCACCCTGGCCCCCCACCCAGTCCAGCCTCGGCCCCCACCCCCGGGCCACACCCGCCCC